AAGTGACGCAGTAGAGACGAAAATGTGGAATAAAGTCGTTATTTTAGTTTTCTTTACACAAAAATGTATTCTCGTAGCTTCGTAACTTTACAGTTGAACCACTGATGTCACACGGACTACTTTGTCGATCATCTTGGTACTTTTCTGGACCTTGAACGCAAGGTATTTACCTTGCTGTCTATGGGAGGGTCAGAGAGCCCTCATATTTCATCAAAAATATCTTAAATTGTGTTCCGAAGATGAACGAAGGTCTTACGGGTTTGGAACAACACAAGGGTGAGTAATTAATGACAGAATTTTTATTTTTGGGTGAAATAACCCTTTAAATAAAGTCAGTATTTGCTAGAGTAGACGCTTCATTGAATTGTTCTTGACTTTTCCATAGACAAAACGGGATTAATCGCAGCTGTGCTAAGCGGAGGGACCATCGTGCTCTTCATTATCATGGGTGTTGTGTGGCTGCTCTGGAGGAAATGGTCCAAAATTCCTATAACACCTCAAAGTTTGGTATGTGTATTTCAGTCCTTTCACTTTGATTTATTTTTTTTTTTTACATCATAATTCTAGAACTGTTTCTTTAGGACTTTTTCTTTATTCAGCAGTGTTTTGTATTTGTGATGTGTCTGGTGACCTGCGGTTGACTCCCTGTCAGCAGTACTAAGACTAACCGTTTGCTCCTTTCCATATGCAGTGGAAAGTTATCCCCAAGCAGTCTCACACCACCCTTGTTTCCCAACCCGAGCAGACCACTGTTTCTTCATTGACATCTCAGGGACACAAACCCCTACTGACAGATGGTTCTCCCCCCATTTCCCTGACTGAGGAAGACTGCAAAGAAAACACAACCTTTGATATGGATCTATCTGAGGTTTCTGAAGAGGATGTGAATTGTGACGACTCTGAAAGCTTCGGCAGGTCGTCTGACTATGACAGTCCCAAATTCCTGCAGGAGATGAGTCCGGGGGACAATACTGAGGGATACGGCCCACGGCCACCAGTACTTTAGGTCTGAATGTGTGTAAGAATGACACTGGAAAGTCTTTGCGTTTCTTGTGAAAAGATGGCCTGTTCAAGTCATTTGATGTAATCATTTTTTGGTCTATTAACAATTTCACACACTGATCAGCAGGCTTGTCCAAGTCAAAGTTACAGTGTTAACTACAGCCATGATGAGTTTCCCACTAACCTGCATTAACATAAATGAATGTGTAAATAAAATAATTTTGCTAATGGGAAATACCAACCAAACAAAAAAGAACAGGTAAAAATATTAAGGGTGTCTACACGGTACACTGTAAGAAAAACAGTAACAGAAAAATGGATAATGTCCTGCCCAAAATTGACCAGTACCCTTTACAGTACTTTATTACCAGTAATTTTTTGGGACATTTCCTTCAACCCTAAAACAATGCAATGCAATGCGTATTTTAAAATTCAGGTAAAACACCTGTAAAAATCAATACAGACAATTAACACGTGATTTCCACGGGAATTGCAAATATGACGCTCCATCAATCAACCAAAAGTTGTAAAAATGATCATTTTAACTGAAACGCAATCTGATGCAGGCATCCATTAACCAATGAGAATTCCAGAGAGGTGTGTCCAGAAATTGCTGCATTCCCACTCGATTTAAAACTGACCCGACTTTTCAGCATCGAAACACATCTTCCACACTCCTGATGCTTTGGCAAGGCCTCTCTAGTGTGTGAGGAACTAAAACTGCATGTGTATGTGCATATGAGCCATGACTTTTCTGTTTATTGCAGGTTGTTACTATTATTCTTGATTTTGTCATGAAACATGTGTCATAGCATACACTTACATCAGAGGCGAATGACGTGCTGGATTCAGTGCTGCTGGAGCTTTCACATTGGAGAACTTTGCCAAGCTGAATATATCACTTGATTATGTCACTATATGCACATTTCCAGGCAGTGGTTTATTCTGTAACATTTGTGAAGTGTTTGCTGTGATAACACCATATTCAGATGTCTACTAAAAGCTACAGTTAATATCTGCCAGACGCTTCTCTGTAATTGTTCAATTCTCTGGCTGAAAATGTTACACATTGTAGGTTGAATAAACAGAACAGCATTACTCTGAATGCCTCATGAGCAAACATTACATAATATAGTTGTGATGTTACTATTTATGCAAGTTCAAGGGGGGAAATATATGTGGTATGACATTGTTAATATTACTTTTTTTTTTTTTACTTAATACACATTAAAATGCTTCTAGTTTTGCTAAAATTCTTAAAGATGTATGCTCTTTGAAAAATGAAGCAAATTTTCTTAAAGGGGTCATATGATGCGATTTCAATTTTTCCTTTCTCTTTGGAGTGTTACAAGCTCTTGGT